GAGGACAACGGTCCCCGAATGTTATGCGATGGGCAGCACATCACGGCATAGCATTGCATCGCGTAGTGAAGCATTTCACATTGTAGCATTGCAGCGCAATGCATGGCACCGCATAGCGGTACCCATCATAGCATCGCACGACATCGACATGCCATTGCACGGCATTACATTGCGTAACACAGCGTTGCATATCACATCATTGCAGGACAATGTATGGCATCACATAACAGCGGCACATCGAATGGCATTGAATTGCATACCAAGGTTGCGTGAACGGTGCAGCCGGCAATTCGTGATGGAGGACCGACACTATGGAGATCAGGCCAGTGCTGCAGCGGGAGCACCTTTGCGAAGGACCGAAAACGCGGAAATGAAGCCAGCGCTACAGCAGGAGCCCCATTCGGAGAGACCCAAACCGCGAAGATGTAACCCGCGCTGCAGTCGGAGCACCATTCGGAAGGACCGAAAACGCGAAAATGAGGCCTGCGCTGCAGCGGGATCACAAGTTGGAAGAGCCAGAAGCGCGGACATGAGGACAGCGCTGCAGCGGGAGCACCATTTCCAAGGACCGAGAACGATCGGAGTGGAACAACACTTAAGGAATACCACCATTCGAAATTTTGCATGTGAAAATTATACGTGGAGATGGTGGGACATGTCTTGCACGGGCTGAAGGGGAGGAGAAGATGAGTATCCAGAATGCGTAATTGTAGAAACTTGCCTCCTCCCCCTCCTGTTCCCTCCCTTCGCACTGACCCTCTGCCTCCCTTTCCCATCTTTCCCCCTCGCACCGTCCCCCTCTCCTTCCAACTGTCTACTTTTATCAGGCATGTCCCTCTACAGGAAGAATGCCCAATAATGGTTAAAACATATTCCGGTGACGGTTACCGTGCTCTTATCATCATGCAACAAGCATTGTTTGATGTTCTCCATGCTTCTATCAAAAACCGTTTTTAGGAGGACATGCCCGACCTAAGTCGATTACCCTCTCCCATGCCATGTCCCTTCGCCCCACGCGCGCCCAGCACGGTGGAGTTATTTAGTGAGTTACTTCGAGCAGGGAGGGGCGACGAGCGACGTGCAGTACGCCTTGGCGAAGTTCTCATTCGCGCGGCAAGCGAGCTGCGCCCAAAGTTTGTCGTTCCACAAAGACGCCGCCACCCGTTAGAGCCCCAGGCGGCCTTCGGCTCACCACGCACCGCATGCCGAAGGATTTCTGTGGACGCGCACACGTCAGTTTTGACACACGTCTTCCAGGCCATCGATTTATATGGAACGCGGAATATTATGGCACGGGAGGCTCGGCTGAGCAGTGCTGATCTTGATATCATCCTGCAGTTCCGGGCTGCTGCTGCTTCTCAGCGGTGTGGCGGTCCGAGGTGGCCCACAGGGGGGCGAAGAGCTAACCGCAGATCTCGCTTCGCGATCTGGACAAGAGAGCTGCTCTTTTCCGAGGTGGGGGCGCGAGGGCACGAAGACAGCGCTTTGCGGGGCGCGAAGCGCGAAGTTAGGCGACCCAGCGGTACGTGATCTAGGTATGCTTGGAGGCACCACTTCCCGGCGGCACGTTGGCGACGGAGGCGTAAGAGAGCCGAGCGTTTCCATGATGTGTAAAAGTGCAGATCGCCCAATGAACACAGATCCCAGAATATATTGAAGCGCGTTCCTGCTTCATCATTCGAAGGGGATTCCTTTTGCCTCATTTTTCAGGGGGTGGCTGGAACCCAGTCTTCAACCGCCTTGCTAGCTCATGTTCTTCTTCGGAGCAGCATCCGTGCCCCGTCGCGACCCGAATCGTGCCCAAGCTATGAATTGTGATCCGTCGCGCGTGTGTGGCTTTAAGGGGCGGTCTTGCGCAAAAGAGAAAACAGGCGAACCAGGTACGTAGATCGAGTGAACCGAACACCATATGATCTGCGTGCTCGAAGGCTCTCCGGGTCTCGTCAATTGAGCCCCATGACTCGGAATCGTTCGGACATATGCGCTTTCTTTTCGGCGAGGATCATCGAGCAGCAACTTAGATCATCTGGCGAGACATACACGCACGAAGCCAAGCAGTGCACTGGGAATGGACGTCCGAGCGATGGTGTGATGAGTGACTTGAAGTTGTCCTAGTGTTTAACGATGAGAGCGAACAGTCTCAAAATAATTAGTGTTGGTTTTGTCGTCGTCCTCGTCCGAGACCTACCCGCAACCCGCCCCGCGACCCACCCGCATTGTGTAGACGAAGATCCGGCGCCTACAACGGGCTCGTAGCGCAATGTGTACAAATCGGCGATTGCGGCGGGCTTGTTCTGAGCCTCACTGACTGCCAATGGCCCCGCCGCCCCCTCACTCTTACGTATCCGCAACTGCTGGAGTTATGAACATTGTGCACGTTTTGTACACTGTGTCTTCGACACTGTTCGATCGCAGTTCACATTTCCATCTGTTGCTCGCGCCTGAACACCCTTTGCGCCGCTGGCTCAAAACTGCGGGGGGCTATGGTACGAGCTGTGGGGTGACCCGAGGCGGCATGGGGCAGCAGCACACCTGTCGAGGCGGACGCATGGCAGGAGGAGGAGGAGGAGGAAGAGGAGGAGGATTACGAGACGCTATGCCGTGAAGCGGGTCAGAGTACGCAAGTGGTTATCGCGGACGCCACGGAGCTCGGTCTTCAATCGTACGTCAGAGCGCAAAGTCCACGTGTGCCATCAGGGCCACTAGGCACGACGTCGTCACGTATGCGGGAAGGTGTCAGAACGCAAAGTCCCAGTGTGCCATCGCGGCTACTAGGCAACACGTCGCCACGTGGGCACGGGGGTCCAGCGGCTGAGATTGCTTTCGGCACGGGCGGGATTGAGGAGCGCCCGAAAGCACGACGCCCAATGGCAAATCGACCACGGCATCAGCAGTCAAAGGGCACCCGAGAGGATGAGAGCGATAGCGGCAGTATGAACATGAACCTGCGTGGCAGCCCGCAGCCATAAGGCCGAAAGGCGGGCCGCCAAAGGGACATGACAGCAGCTTCGACACAGCGACCACCACGATGAGAAGCGAACCGAGAGACTGGGGGCCCGCAGACCATGAGAGGCCGAAGGGCGGGCCGCCAGACAGCGGCGGCAATAGCATCTGCATGGAGGGCACCCATGAAGAATACGACGGCAACGACAAGAACAATGCGAGGATGGGCAGCCCGCAGCCAACAGGCCGAAGGGCGGGCTGCCAGAAAGGCAGGACAACTGCTACGACACGGCATCGATCACCAGACGAAGGAGAGAAGAGAAGGTCTGGCGGCCCGCAGCCCAAGAGTGGCCGAAGGGCGGGCCGTCAGACAGCGAATCCTCCAGCGAAGCTGCACCCGACGACAGAAGAAGAGAAGACGGAGCACCCTGCTCCATGGCAGGCACCCTCGAGGGGCCACCGCTTCGCGTGACAGGCGAGGCAGAGCCGCCGACCAGCCAGGTCGGCAGCTGCTCACAAAGAGAAGAGAAGACAAAGACCAGAGAAGGTGGAGCACCCCTCAGCTCGCGAGCCGAAGGGAGGGGTGCTCCACGCCAAAAAAAGAGATGATATACGGCGCCCACTAGCAGGCGCCCTGAGGCTGCAGCGCCGCGGCGGCGCTACAGAGCCTATATCGAAAGGGTCTCGAAAGGAGGAGGAGGAGGAGGAGGAGGAGGAGGAGGAGGGGGAGGAGGAGGAGGAGGAGGAGGAGGAGGAGGAGGAGGAGGAGGAGGAGGAGGAGGAGGACGCCTCCCCCCTTCGGATGCAACTCCCGGCAGGCTAAGTTCAACGGCGGCGCTGACACACGGCAGGTTCGCGTCGTGCCGACCAGCGGCGACCCCTGCGCGGGCGTTCTGAGGTTGGACGCCGCCTGGGCCCAGCATCGGCCCACCGCTGAACGATCCGGCGTTTGCGAAACGGTCGATTGTTCAATACAGTCGGCCTTGATTAGTAGATCGACCCTGCCAAGTCAACGGTAGCCTTGTGCCCTGTCTTTAAAGTGGCGTGCCTTTTACATTCCTACGGCAATGTATCCCTCGGAAGGGTCTTGTGTCCTCTCGCGTGTGCTCTCCAATCACGTCCGACTGTATTGGCTTATTCCCGCGGTGTCAGGAACCAACGCCGAAGTCGGCACGATGCGAACTTGCTGTACCAGTCGCCGAAAATTGGCCAGATTTGCATAATCCCGTTCAGTTCCGTTCAGTCCCGCCCAATCTGGAGGTTCAGCCTGGGCTGACCCGGCCCTGTGGTTCCTCAGTCGGGCTCGATCGCGCTTGCTCCTTGCAACGAAGACCTCCTGGGAGGTGTCTCCTGACCCTTCCTTTCCCCACTCAGCGTTTGCACTGAAGGGATCCCAGCGGATGTTGAAGCACTGGGTGGCGACAGGTTCCCGCGGAGTTTGGTGGCCGGCTGGGTTTCCGGGTTCCCGGTTCCAGGTTCCCGGGTTCTTCGTTATTGGTTCCATGGCGATCTCGGTGGGTTCCTGGGTTCCCGGTCGATCTCCCTATCGATCTCTCCACGATTCATCAAACCATCCACTTACCTGGCATCGTTCGGACGTGGCAAACCATCCACTGACTTGACGAGCGATGGCAAGCTGATGGTTTTTTGTTTCTCTGGTGGAATTCTTTCCCTTCGCCCAGGGCCTCGCCGTGCGAGCCCTCGACTTCGACAGCGGGGTCGCGGGACCGGCCCTCTGCACGGGCGGGCGCGCAGGGGGGAGCACGAGCCCCCCTGCCGCTGCCAGCCGGGCCCCGCGCCAGCGAGGCACACGAGCCTCGCGCGCGCGAGGCGCCGAGGCTCCTCCCCCCCGCAGGAACGAGAGCCTGCGGGGAGCCCTCGCCCTCGTCCTCGTCCTCGTCCTCGCGCCTTCTCCGTCCGCGACCTCGCCCTCGTCCGAGAGCTCTGGCTCTCTTCGCCCTTGTCCTCGCGCCGCCGCGCGCCACGGAGCCCAGGGCGGCCCCCCGCGTTCCGAGGGAGCCCGGCGCCGGTGCGGCGGCGCCCGCTCCCGCAGGGAGATGGCGGCGGCCGAGGATCAAAGAGGAAAAAAGTGCAGAGCACGCGAACGTTTGTCGGAGGAGGAAGCCCAGACCCCCTCGCGCTGAGACAAAATCGCGAGGAGGGTTCTTGTTCGGCCTCTGGGGGGCCATCCTGGGCCTCGGGGCAGTCAAGAAACGACTCGGGGCGAGAAACCGGTCCCAGTGAAGGGGTCCAGTCCTCTGGGGGTCGACGTTGTGGAAATCAACACGACGTCGGGGGTCTGGGAAAGGTACCCGTACTGCTATCCTTCGCCCGGGCTCCTTTTGTCGCGCCCTCCCTGGGAGGCCCTCGTCGCCACCGTTGGATTCGCCTCGAAATTTTGGTTAGGAAGGCACCCCCGGAGAGATCCTGGGAGCACAGTGAAGACCCCTGCCAAGAAACACCCTACCTGCCCCCAGGGTGCCCTGGGTTTCTTGGGTTTCGATGGCCTTGATATGGAAAACGTGACGTCCCAACACCACAAAAAGACAATGGACGTCCTTGGGTCTCAGGGCTGGGTTTCCTGTGGGAGGGTTCTTGTGGTCGAGCCCCCACTGGAGCTGGAGCTCATGGTGGCTCGCGGCGCCCGCACGTGACCCCGCCACGGGCCTGATCCCTCTCTCTCTCCTCTCCTCCCCCAGCCGGCCTGCGCAGGCGCCCGACTGCACTGCGGCCACCTCGCGCGGGAGTATAAAAAAGGTCGAGCCCCTGCCGTGGCGGTATCGGTACCTGCTGGCTTCCCTTGCTGGGAGTTCCGCGCAGACCGTCGAAGGTGTCGTGTGTTGCTGCCGTGGTTCTCTCCCTCTCGAGGAGCAGGGCGCCGCCGCCGCCGAGGGCGCGGCTGCTCCCCAGGGTGCGGAGGGCAGGGTGTCCCAGGCGCGGCCACGACAGAAACACGCAGACACAATTGATCGTCGAGCTATGGGAAAGCATGGGAAGTGGGAGGGAAGACAGAAGTCCAGAAGGTATGGGAAAACATGGGGAATCGTGGGACGTGCGTGTGCGTGTGCGTGTGCGCGTGCGTGTGTGTGCGTGTGCGTGTGCGTCTTCGTGTGCGTCTGCGTCTGCGTCTGCGTCTGCGTGTGTGTTCGTGTGCGTGTGCGTGTGCGTGTGCGTGTGATTGTGCGTGTGCGTGCGCGTGCGCGTGCGTGTGCGTGTGCGCGTGCGTGTGCGTGTGATTGTGATTGTGCGTGTGCGTGCGCATGCGCGTGCGCGTGCGCGTGCGCGTGCGTGTGCGCGTGCGCGTGCCGCGAGCGCGTGCGCGCGTGCGCGTGCACGTGCCGTGCGTGTGCGCGTGCGAGTGCGTGTGCGTGTGCGTGTGCGTGTCGTGTGCGTGTGCGTGTGCGTGTGCGTGTCGTGTGCGTGTGCGCGTGTGTGTGTGTGTGTGTGTGTGCGCGTGCGCGTGCGCGTGTGCGTGTGCGTGTGCGTGTGCGTGTGCGTGTGCGTGCGCGTGTGCGTGTGCGTGTGATTGTGCGTGCGCGCGCGCGTGCGCGGCGCGTGCGCGTGCGCTGCGCGTGCATGTGCGCGTGCCGTGCGCGTGCGTGTGCGTGTGCGTGTGCGCGTGCGTGTGCGTGTGTGCGTGTGTGCTGTGGTGCGTGTGCGTGTGCGTGTGTGTGTGTGTTTTTTGTGTGTTGTTGTGTAATGTGTGTAAATATGTGTGTGCGTGTGTGTGCGTGTTGCGTGTGTGTGTGCGCGCGTGTGCGTGTGTGCGCGTGTGCGTGCGTGCGCGTGCGCGTGCGCGTGCGCGCGTGTACTTGTGTGCGCGTGTGCGCGTGTGCGTGTGTGCGTGTGTGCGTGTGTGCGTGTGTGCGTGTGCGTGTGTGCGTGTGTGCGTGTGTGCGTGTGTGCGTGTGTGCGTGTGTGCGTGTGTGCGTGTGTGCGTGTGGGCGTGTGTGCGTGTGTGCGTGTGTGCGTGTGTGCGTGTGTGCGTGTGTGTGTGTGTGTTGTGTATGTTGTGTGTGGTGTGTGTGGTGCGTGGTGCGTGTGGTGCGTGTTGTGCGTGTTGTGTGTTATGTGTGTGGTGTGTGTGTTGTGCGTGTTGTGTGTTATGTGTGTGTGTTGTGTGTGTGTGTTGTGTGTGGTGTGTATTGTGTGTATTTTGTGTGTTGTGTGTGTGGTGTGTGTTGTGTGTGTTGTGTGTGGTGTGTGTGTGTGTTGTGTGTTGTGTTGTGTGCTGTGTGTTGTGTGCGTTTTGTGTGTGTGTGTGTTGGTGTGTGGGTGTGTGTATATGTGTGTGTGTGGGTGTGCGAGTGTGTGCGTGTGGGGGGGGCGTGGGAGGGTGTGCGTGCGTGTGTGTGTGTGTGTGGGTGTGCGTGCGTGTCCCTGGGTCCCCTTAAAGATGTGCTCGAATCGCTTCGCTGACTCCGCCGGCCCAGACCATCCCATCGCGGGCATCTGCCTGCGTGTTCGCTGCCACTGTGGCGTGGCGCCGCCGCCGAGGGCGCGGAGGCCCCCCCGGGGGGCGGAGGGCAGGGCGTGGGCCCAGCTGGATGTCCGCCCCCCCCTCCCCGAGGGCCCCGAGGCGCGGAGGGCACGGGCAGGAATCTGGCCTCGGCGGGGCCAGGCTGTGGTCGCCACATCCGCCGCAGCTCGGGCTGGGGGGGGGGGGCACCCCTTCTGCAGAGCAAGTCCCCCCCCCCCTTGGTATGCCAGTGGGGGCTGGCCGTGCCGTGTCCGCGGGCGTGGCTGGGAAAGTTGGCGCGTCCCGCTGCGTGCCGGGTGGTGCTGGCATGCAGGGGTGGGTGGAGATGAAGCGCCTGCAGGGGTAGCATGCAGGCGGGGTGGGCCTAAGAGCGTTCGAATGGGTTCGGATTCGGGCGGCGGTGCGGGGAGATTGGCCGCGGCCCGTTTCCACATTTATCACCCCCCCTTTGGATGAATACCGCAGTTTCGGGTATGAGTCTTGCCCGCACCAGGCGCGGTACCACCAGAACCGGTCGTTCTCTCGCTCCGTGGGCAGCGGGGGCTTGAAGGAGCTCGGGGGCGGGCAGGTGGCCTCGCAGGGTGTGGAGGTGCGCCTCTCCGCCTGGGAGCGGTTCCTGGCGGGCGAGGTTCGAGGGAAGAAGCACGCTGGCTGCAGTCAAGGCGCTGAGATAAGGACCACGTTGTGCTCTGGAGGGGCTCTGGTTTTCGGGCCGTTGCTTCCAGTGAGGTCGTGGAGCCCACTCATAGCCGAGGCTCACCGTGGCCAGAGAAGCCCCTTCGTTTCTTATTCAGCGCTCCTTACGGTGACCAAGATGGTGCGAGACCTTGCCGACGCCCATCTTGGCCATGGTCCATGCCAGCCGTCGCCGACTGGCAAGGAGGAGCCACGAATTGATTTCGGCCGTGCGTCAGAGAGACCTTTCGCTGAAGTGACCTTTGGTGCGGGGCCACTGGGGAAGCCCGATCGCTGACTTCGGTGCGGCAGCAGCGGCTGGCGCCCTCAGGCTGAACGCCCCTGCCCCACCCCTACAGTGGAGGCCCATGCCAAGAAACACCCTGCTTGCCTCCAGGGTGTCCTGGGTGTCTTGGGTTTCGATGGTTTTGCTATGGAAAGCGTGACGTTCCCACACCACAAATCAATGAAAGTCCTGGGGTTTTAGGGTTGTGTTTCTTGTGGAAGGTTTCTTGTGGTCGAGCCCTTACTGTAAAGCCGCACACCAGAAGCCACTCTTGCCTAGGGTAGGGTCGCTCTTCCGTGTAGCCGAGCATTGACGGTGACCAAGACTGGCGAGGACCAAGATCGGCACCGACGTTTCCGCGTTAATTCTTGGTCACTCACCGCCCACCAAAACACCCCAACCCAACCCGAAGGCCCCGATTTGCCCTCCATTGCCAGTGGGGGGGGGTTCGGGGAACATACAACCAAATCAAAAACATATATGAGGCCCGTACACCCCCCAACAGGAAATTCGGGTCTTCGGGTTGGGTTGTGGTGGTCTGTGAGGTGTTAAGTCATGGGCATCGTTGGTTTTCCCTCCAGAGGTGGTGTGCAGCTGCTGCTCCTTCTGCCTCTTCCTGGCCCTGATGCTGGTCCTGAGTGTGGCCGGCCTCTACGACGGGCTTTCAGAGGAGGAAAGGGCACCCGTACCCTACCCTTGCCTCGTTTTCGCCTTTAGGGGCCTCCTGGGAGGCCATCGTCGCCACTGCTGGATTCGCCTCGAAATTCTGGACAGAACGTGCCCCAGCAGAGGTCTGGGAAATCCCTGAGCACAGAAAATGGCATAAACATCATTTCTCGGAGGTCGGATCGGATTTCTTGGCTCGGCGCTGGACCCCCTCCCTGGCGCGCGGAGCGCGCTAGGGGCGGCGCCAGAGGCGCCGCCAGGACGCTGAAGTAAGGACCGCTTTAGATTCGGAAGGGGCTCGGTGTTCCTCATAGGTCGTTCCGAGGTTGCGGAGCCTGGCCTTCCTGGTGCACCTCGGCGCAGTCGGCGCCAAAGAGGGGCTTCGTTCCTTTCCTGGCGCTCCTCGCGTCAGCAGCAGCCTTTCTGAATGCTGGTGCTTTGCTCCTCGAGAGCACTCCTGCTCCCCCTCCCCCTCCCCCTCCTCCTCCCTCCTCCCTCCTCCTCCTCCTCCTCCTCCTCCTCCCTCCTCCCCCTCCTCCTCCTCCCTCCCTCCTCCTCCTCCTCCTCCTCCTCCTCCTTCTCCTCCTCCTCCTTCTCCTCCTCCTCCTCCTCCTCCTCCTCCTCCTCCTCCCCTCCTCCTCCCCCCTCCTCTCCTCCTCCTCCTCCTCCTCCTCCTCCTCCTCCACCTCCTCCTCCTCCTCCCCTCTCCTCCTCCCTCCTCCTCCTCCTCCTCTCCTCTCTTGGCCCCCAGGTTCCAGCTCAACGAGGCCGGCGGCTCGGTGCTGACCGACGACATCGTGCAGCTCTATGCGGCCGCCTGCGGCCGGCGGGCCTCGCCGCCGCGCAGCAGTACAGCTCCTCCTCCTCCTCCTCTCCTCCTCCTCCTCCTCCTCCTCCTCCTCCTCCTCCTCCTCCTCCTCCTCCCCCCTCCACCTCCTCCCCCTCCCCCTCCCCCCCTCCTCCCTCCTCCTCCTCCTCCTCCTCCTCCTCCTCCTCCCCTCCCTCCTCCTCCTCCTCCTCCTCCTCCTCCTCCTCCTCCTCCTCCTCCTCCTCCTCCTCTCCTCCTCCTCCTCCTCCTCCTCCTCCTCCTCCACCTCCTCCTCCTCCCCCCTCCCCCTCCTCCTCCCCCTCCTCCTCCTCCTCCTCCTTCTCCTCCTCCCCCCCTCCTCCTCCTCCTCCTCCCTCCGCCTCCTCCTCCTCCCTCCTCCTCCTCCTCCTCCTCCTCCCTCCCCCTCCTCCTCCTCCTCCTCCTCCTCCTCCTCCTCCTCCTCCTCCTCCTCCTCCTCCTCCTCCTCCTCAGCGCAGCCTCGCCGCCGCGCAGCAGTACAGCAGCGCAGCACTGCCGCAGACCCGCTCGCGCCGTGGCAAAGTCGCAGAGCGTTCCGTGGGTGCTCGGATCTTCCCGAACGGCCGCCGGAGGCCCGAGTTTTGGCCCGGAAACCAGACATGCTCGCGTCGGGAGGCACAGCCGGCCTTGGGGAAGGGGTCAGGATTTCCCCGGACCGCGTGTTGAACACATGAGAAGAGCATCGGATGTTTGGATGGCCATCGAGCAGCAGCGCCACAGCGCAGCTTTAAGAAAGCTGAGTTGAAGGCTGGTTTCGTGTCACATCCCTGCCTGAACTGGCGCGGGTCTTTAACACCTTCTCCTTATCCGCGGCATTCATCTCTCTCTCTGTCTCTCTCTCTCTCTCTCTTTCTTCATCTCGGAGGCTTCACTGAGGGCGTCTTCGGGGCCTCTTGAGGCCTCTTGGGGGCCTGTTGTGGGCAAGCTGGGGGTCTCGGAGCCGTTTGGGGCGCGATGATTCTACCGCGCTCCTCCTAGATGCTTAGTTCAACCATGTTGAGAACGCATGGGCGGGTCTTGGGCCGCTTTGACGGATTCTCGGACGTTCTTGGGCCGTCTGGGGCGTTCTCTGGGGCTCCCGACGTTTTCCCAGCCCGGTCTGAAAGCTGGAAAGCAAGCATTGGACGCGAAAGCAGCCGCGTCTGGCTACTTGCGCGTTGCTTCTGACCCCCCAGGGTCTCGCACGAGGCCTCCTTTTTGGGGGCGCCTCTTGGAGGCTGCCTGGGCCCTCTTGGAACAGGGCTGGACGGGAAATGTGTTCTGCTGGACCTCGACCGTGTCTTGTTCTTCGTTCTGCGAGGACGGTACAGGACAAAAAAGGTCGAGCAGAGCGAAACACAGAACGAAAACAGATTGAGGAACAACGCTTCCAGGCGGCCCGGATTGACAGGTCGACCTTGCCAGGTCAAGGGTACCTTCGTGCCCCGTGCCTTGCGACCCACGCCTCCTGCGTTCATGTGGAAACGTGGCCCTCGGCTTGGCATCGCTCGGACGTGTGCATTTTTTCTCGGCGAGAACCATCGAGGACCATCCTGGACCATCGAGCAAATGCGCGGGAAGTGGACCTCCGAGCGACGGCAAGTCGGAGGGGTCTCGTGCCCTCTCGCGCGCCCCCTCCGTTCAAGCCCGACGGCAGGTCCAGCCCTGCCCTTGGGACCTCCTGGGGACACCTTCCGAGCCCTGGCAGGGGGGCCCTGCGGGCACTGCCGGGCCGGCCTCCGGCCCTCTCGCGGCCCTCTCGCGGGGGAGAGGCCTCGGGCCGCAGGGGGCCGCCCTCGGAGCCGAAGCGGGCGCCCGGCAGCCACACGCCGGGCGTCGATCGGGAGCCTCGAGCGGGGGGGGGATCCAGCATCGCTCGGACGTGTGCATTGTTCCTCCGGCGAGGACCATCGAGGAGCATCCTTTATCATTTGGCGAAAAGACCACGCACGAAACCGAAAAAAGCAGAGGGAATGGACGTCCGAGCGATGGCGAGAGCAGCGGGGGGGGGGGTCCAGCGCCAACGGGGGTCCGCCAGAGCGCCCGATCTTTTGCAGGATCCTGCCGGGCCAGGGTCGCAGCGGTGACCACCTGGGCTTGGGCGCAGGATCCTGCAGGATCTTGCATTGTGTCGGGCGTGTCCCCCATGCAGGGTATTTTCGACGAAACAAAAAAAAATACCCCGAAAATGCACCAAAAAGGTCAACAAATATTAAAAAGATAGTCCCCAGAATATGTTTGGATTATTTTCTGATTATTTGGGGGGCACTTCTTTTTTCGGCGAAAATCCCCCTGTAGGTTGACAGGCCCGACTTAAATCTTGCAGGATCCTTCGCACCGACCCGGGCTTGGGTGCAGGATCTTGCAGGATCTCGCAGGATTCTGCACGGCCTGACTGACCCGGGTCTGGATTGACCCGGGTCAGCAGGTCCCCGAGTCGAGCACCGTCGAGCTTTTGATTCGTAGGGCGACCTTGCTTGCCCAAACGTACTTGATTGATTCCTCCTCCTCCTCCTCCCTCCTCCTCCTCCTCCTCCCTCCTCCTCCTCCTCCTCTCCTCCTCCTCCTCCCTCCTCCTCCTCCTCCTCCTCCTCCTCCTCCCTCCTCCTCCTCCTCCTCCTCCTCCTCCTCCTCCTCCTCCTGTGGGGCCCCTCCCAGGGCGCCGATCCCCACAGGTGCGACTCGGGACGTGCCGAGTCGAGTTTGATCAGCACAGTCGAGTTTGATTGGCAGGGTTGCCATCGTGTCCCACGTTTCGCGACCCATGCCCTCTACGTTCCACTGGCAGTGCGGCCATCAATTCCTGAATCTGCGGCAAACGTTTAAGACGAATGTGCGTGGCACTGGGGCGAGAGCCACATTTTGAACACCAGCCCCTTCCATCCCTTGAACACAATCCCCTTCCATCCTCCACCACCCTCAATCCTTGACGAACGTGCGCGGTGCAAAGGCGAGAGCCACATTTTGGAACCCGCCTCCCATCCATCAGTGAATATGTTGCACGTTTTTTTTGCAAGGGTCTCGTGTCCTCTCGCGTGTCCTCTCCAATCCACCCCGCCTGCACGGGGGGGGGAGGCGATGGACCCTGAGATCCTGGCGCTGCAACTTTTCACGGCGGCCGTTTTCGGGCCCCGGGGCCCTCACAGATCGATCCAGCTCGAAAGATGGCGCAGACAGATGGGGCCTGGGGGTGAGGAGGAGGAGGAGGAGGAGGAGGAGGAGGAGGAGGAGGAGGAGGAGGAGGAGGAGGAGGAGGAGGATGGTCGTGATTTTCTGCGATGTTGCAATGTTGTGCAACGTCGGATCTCAGGGTCGATGGGGGTCGAAGAAAGGTGCACCTTTTTCGGGGAAAAGTAACACTCGAGTAAGCCGGATCTCGGGTTGGCCGACTCTTTTTTTGACGAGCGCGTCTGGGATTTTGACGGTCCCGTGTTCGTGGGACGTCTGCAGCGGGAGCCCGCGTCAGATTTCAGGTGGGGTCTCGTCTTTTTGAGGATGGCCCCCGTCAGGCCAACCCGAGTCCCCCTTGTGCCCGAGTCTTGCGTCTCCCCGACTTTTGTGCCCTGAGGAGGAGGAGGAGGAGGAGGAGGGAGGGCGGAGGGAGGAGGGATGGGAGGGAGGGAGGGAGGGAGAGGAGGACGAGGAGGGAGGGAGGGAGGGAGGGAGGGAGGGAGGGAGGGAGGGAGGGGGGGGAGGGAGGGAGGGAGGGAGGGAGGGGGAGGAGGAGGAGGAGGAGGAGGAGGAGGAGGAGGAGAGGAGGAGGAGGAGGAGGAGGGAGGAGGAGGAGGAGGAGGAGGAGAGGAGGAGGAGGAGGAGGAGGAGGAGGAGGGAGGAGGAGGGAGGAGGAGGAGGAGGAGGAGGAGGAGGAGGAGGAGGAGGAGGAGGAGGAGGAGGAGGAGAGTAGAGGAGGCAGGAGGAGGAGGAGGAGGAGGAGGGAGGGAGGGAGGAGGGAGGGAGGGAGGGAGGGAGGAGGGAGGGAGGGAGGGAGGAGGAGGGAGGGGAGGGAGGGAGGGAGGGAGGGAGGGAGGGGGATGGGAGGGAGGGAGGGAGGGAGGGAGGGGGGGCCACAGGGACCCCCCTTGGGACCCAAGCGGGGCACGAGAGGCGCACGTGGGCGGTCGGCGCCCGGGCGAGAGGGGGGTCGGCCCTCGCAGAGTTGCAGGGCTGCACCAGGCTCGAAGAAGAAGAAGAAGAAGCGATTGCCCGAGCACTCCTCGCTGGGTGTAGGTCGGAGGTGGACAGACCTCCCACCCTGACACGTCGATTAAGGAATTGGCCGTTTTCGGTTCGCGAGGGGGCATCGCGACCGTCATTTTTGCTGGTCCGGGTCGGTCGGTTTCGGTCCCAGGCGCTTTTCACTAAGGGGAGGTTTACTAAAGGGAGGTTTGTCCACCGCCGAGTAGGGCTCAGGGTGGGAGCTGAAGTGCCGTTTCGATGGATCTTCGAGGTCTGAATATGCAAAGGGTGAATCACAAGTCGGATTGGTTTTCGAGGTGCAGTAGCCCATACGGATTTCACCCTGAGCCCTCCACCCTAAGAAAATGCTCAGAGTGCACCTGCATGCAGTCGAGCAGCTGATTGGGAAACCTCCCCCGAGAAGCTGGGCCAGCGTTTCTGGGTCACCCTGCCAGAAGGCTGGCCCAGCTTGTGGAGTACGCTCGCCCCCTCCGGCGTGAAGAAATGAGCCGGCCCAGGCTTGTTGTTAAGAGTCAAGCAGTGGCGAAGCGTCCTGGCTCGCCTATAGGCCTACCAAACAATGCTCTAAGAACCTTCTGTGGAGTCCACGAAATTTCTTAAAACATTTCTGGCTGGGACCGTCTTGTTTTAACACACCGGGTTCACGTTCCAAGAACATTGTCTTTGTTCTTAGAACATTATTGGGTTCTAAGACAATTTCGTGGTAACCCTATAGGAATGCCGGGACGGTCGGTCCTTGCTCAAGAGAGCTGGCCCAGGCTTCTTACATGGAAACTGAGCGACGCCAGAAAACGGGGCCGTCGGCGCCGGCCTTCGCGCGTAAGCTGAAGTCGGGCCTGCCCCTCGACAGGAGGAGACTTGAAACATAGCTTTTTTGTTTTATTAATAACAACAGCAACAACAACATCAACAACAACAACAACAACAACAACAACAATAACAATAACAACAATAATCACAACAACAGCAGCAGCAGCAGCAACAACATCAACATCAACAACGACAACAAAAACATAAACATGTCTGGGGACGAGGTTTCGATTACGACCCCGCTATTTGGCAATTTTGTTGACTATTTTTCATTTGTCGCCCAAGATCCGCCTGTAGGGGGGCATGCCCGACCTAAGCGCAAGCTGCCCGCGCAAGCTTGCGCGCACGCACCCTCGTCTCCAGTGCAGCGTGCTGCGCTGGCGGCCCGCGCGAGCCACCGCGTAAAGTCGCCATGTGATCTCGCGCAAGATCCGCTGTATATTGCTGTTTAGCTTTCTTGGTTATTGTGTTGGTTGCATGTTGTCGGAGTTTCGTGTGGATTTTCTCGATCGGCGCCGGGCTCAAAAGGGGGTTTAGTGATAAGGGGGTGGTGTATTAGATCTGGTGCCATAGATCTGCGGGTTTCCCATTGATCTGGGGCGTGCCATACTGTCCTGTGCGCAGATGTGTGTTGCTGGATGTTCGCGCGCAACGCGTTCGAGCAATATAATGCCATACATTTCTCTCGAGGGAGGCAAAAGCACCCAGACCCGACAATGGGCGTTTACTAAACGGCCCTGGGCGTTTACTAAACAGTCCTGCCCTGTTCGATTCCTTCTCTGGGCGTTCCTACTGCACGATTTCTCGCGTGTCCGGGTGGTTCTTATGGGGGTGGATCTCTTCACCTCGTAGTCTCCGGCGCCACACATTTGCAGCACACTTGCCCCCGGCCTGCTGCACCACCCCCTTTCGGCTGCACCCCCCCTCGGGTCAATCGGGCCGGACGAAAGGGGGGGATTGGGAAAGGGGGGGTTACGAAATTTGCTGCATGCAGCTGGTTTCGGCCTCACCGAGTGGCCCATTCCTCGATACGTAGCCGCCTCCGGCGCCGGGAGGCGCCGGGAAAATCAGCTACGTGAGCTGATTCTCAAACCCCCCCTTTGCTATCCCCCCCTTTCGCCCGACCCGGGTCCAGCGCAAACGCTCCCCCCTCCCCGGCGCGCGGGGAGCGCGCCGCGGGGCGCGCGCCGCGGGGCCGCCCGCCCCTCCAGGCCGCGCCCTGGGTGCGCTCCTCCGCGCCGCCAGCGCGGGGGGGGCCCAGCGCCGCTCCGAGGGCTTCGCGCGGCGCCCTCGGAGGCTCCCTCTGCGGCCACGAACCCCGAAAACCCCCTCGAGCCATGGGACAATCACGACGGGAGGCTGTTCGTTATGTTCGGCCTCTGGGGGTCCTTGCCGGACTTCGGGGCCGTCCAAAAACGACTCGGGGTGAAGAGCCGGTCCTTGGGAAAGAGTCGAGACCTTTGGGGGTCGACGTCATGACAAAATCATGACGTCGGGGGTCTGGGCAGCGGACCCTACCCCTTCAGGTCTCCTGGATGGGGTCGGAGTACGGTCGGACCGAGGTATAAGATCGAGGCCGGCTCGGGGAGGGTACCCCAATGTTCTGCGCGTTCGTTGGGTGTTACTTTGCATCCTGCGGGAGGGTATGCCCTCAGATGTTCGTCAGCCTGGCCCACGGAGGGTCTCGTGTTCTTGAAGGATGCTCTTGTGTCCTAGGACCAGCCGTAGATGGGGGCCAGAGCATCGCGCCGCATCCCCGATGCATCGGCCATGCGGCTCGATGCGGCGCCCGACTTTCTCCACGCCGACGTCGCCGATGCGTTGCCGACGCCGGCGATGCATCGCCGATGCGTTAGCGATGCGGCGCGATCCTCCCAGACCCATCTGCTCGGACCCCATCCAGGTGATCGCTGCGGTTCCTGTCGCCGCTGGGGTACCGGGCACCCCCTCTGGGATTTGCCTGGCCGCAGGCATCCTTCTGAACTTCGGCCGGTCATTCAGAAATCGGCCCTGCAGAGGTAGGATTCACATGTGGTTGCCTATGTATGCTGATGCCACGTATTCTTTCTCTACAGACGACTAACAAGGATTCTAGCACCCTGCTGACGCGCCAGAGCGGTGGCGGACTACGCCGCGAAGCACCTCGAGGAGAACGGTTGCACCTCTGGAGATCAGACGATCGAAACAGGTGCAGTAAGAATTAGGACGAATACCGACAGCATTCCCTGCCACTTTCGAACAGGAGTCGCAGCTGGTGTCAACGCGGACGTTGCGCATGTGATACTACAGGTCCCCTACCCACCAGCGAACGCTGTCGGCTGTGGGACAAAATTTGCTGCTAGGCACTGTGCAGCCAAGACGCTGAAAGAATCGGAGGTTGATAGACCTCCTAGCCTGACACGTTGATTCAGGAATTGGCCGTTTTCGGTTCGCGAGGGGGCGTCGCGGCCGTCATTTTTGCGGGTCCAGGTCCGCCCGTTTCGTTATTGGGCAGTTTTCACTAGAGGGAGGTTTACTGCAGGGAGGTCTGTCCACTGCCGGAAGAAGGACCAGTTGGGGACTCGGAGGGGCCCCGGTTCCTGGGCCGATCCTGAGATCCAGGGCGAGGAGCACACTCGTGGCCGAGGCCCGCCGTCGCCAGACGAGGCGTTGGTTCTTGCTCGGCGCCCCTGGTGGTAGTACGGTGACTGCACCCACGCCTTCGAAGAACAAACAACTCGGAGGTGGACAGACCTCCTACCCTGACACGTCGATTCGCGAATTGGCCGTTTTCGGTTCGCGAGAGGGCGTCGCGGCCGTCATTTTTGCGGGTCCAGGTCCGTCGGTTTCGGTCCTAGGCCGTTTTCACCAGGGGGAGGTTTACTGAAGGGAGGTTTGTCCACCGCCGAGCCTTGTTTCTTACTCAGCGTCCCTGGTGATAGCTGGTGACTGCACCCACGCTTTCGAAGAACAAAAAACGGCATAAACACAAACTATTGGCGCTCCGCGTGGATGCCCTGGATCTGCGCTGGAGCCCCCCTGGCGTCGCCTCCGGCGCCGCCCCTGGCGCGCTCCGCGCGCCAGGGAGGGGGGGGTCCAGCGCAGATCGTGACAATCCGCGCGGACCGTGAAAAAGTCCATGCTTATACCGTTGTTTGTTTCTCTGCGTTTTCCGTACCCATTTCGGGTGTGCCAAGGAGAGGTCTTCGGCAGCCCAGTTTGCAACCCCATGTGGGCGGCGGACGACGAGGGCGGCGATCTGACAGACAGCTCCCAGCCCCGGGCTCTCGCGGGGAACGCCATCCTCATCATTTTCGAGGCGACTGGGACGGAGTGCCCAGGAGATCAGGGGCAAAATTGGGGGGGGGCAAGGTTCGGGGAGGGGGGGGGGGGAACGACGGTTTCGTCGTGGTTTCGTCGAAGTCGCCTACGGCGAGTGACCGCCACCCTCTGCCTTTAGGATACTCATATATGGCCAAACGTTTGGACACATTTTGGCCATGTTATTGGACCATGCGTTCTCCCAGCCGTTGTGGAAACCCTTTGGGAGACACCTGGGGGAGGAAGAGGAGAATGAGGAGGAGAGGGAGCAGAAATGAGGAGAAGGAAGGATGGATGAGGAGACCTCGCGGATCATTATTGGGGCCTCCTGGGAGCTTCCCGGGAGCCTCTTGGAGGCCTCTTGGGGACCTCCTTTGGCCTCCTGCGGCCTGGGGGGGCTTCTAGGAGGCCCTGTGGCTGTCTTACGGCGTTCCTGGCCCGTCTGACACCGTCGGAAGCCGTCTTGGGAGTCTCTTTGGGCCGTCTTGGGGCACGCTTGGGGCGCTTCAGGGTCGTCTTGGAGGCCATCTTGGGCGTCTTGGAGAGGCCTCTTTAGACCGTCTTGGGGCCCTTTGGGGGCCGTCTCGGGAGCCTCGTGGGCCGTCCTGGGGCCATCTTGGAGGCCTCTTGGGTGATTTTGGGGGCCTCTTGGGCCTTCGGGATGCCGTGGGAAGGCCAAAGAGAAGCAAATGCCCAAATCCGTCAAAAACCTAAGAACAGTCAATGATTTTGGTTTCTTCGGCCTCCATGAGACCCTTTGGGGCCGTCTTACGAGCCTCTTGGGCGCTTATTGGGCCGTCTTTGGCTCTGTTGGACCATCTTGGAGGTCTTGGAGGCATCCTGGGACCGTCTTGGCGGCCGTATTGGGGCGATCTTGGGCCCTCTTGGGGCCATGTTGGCTGTCTTGGAGGCATCTTGGGACCGTCCTGGTGGCCGTATTGGGGCGATCTTGGATTCCGCCGCCGAGCCGGCACCGGCCGCATTTTCGGGAGGGCACCTCCCCCGATCCATGGATTTGGCGACCGCCCTCCAAATCCATTGATCGCTAATCTTAAGTCGGGCCTGTCCCTCTACAGAGGGGATATTCAAAGATAGTCCAAGAACAGTCTGGGGACGATTTTTTGTATATGTTTGAAAATGTTTGGGGCATTTTCAGGGTATTGTTTGTTTTTCGTCCAAAATCCCCCTGTAGGGGGACAGGCCTGACCTAACGCTAATCCATGTCTGCGCGCCCACGACCCACGGAGAGCTCTTCCGAGAAGCACCAAAAACTTGCCACACGTTCCGCACGCCGAGCTTCCCCATGTAGCCAGTCAGAGGAGGAAAAGGTACCCATACCTCTACCCATTGTTCATTTCTAAGTATTCGAAAGTTCTTTGTTTTTTTTGAGAACCAACATCCGCTCATTCCTAATTGTTCTACCCTGGGCCTCTTCCTGGCCACTAGGGGGCCAGGAACAATTAGAAACGAACACAATTAGAAATGAGCACGATTAGAAATGAACGACGTGTACCTTTAGCCCGTTTTCTCCTTTTTGGGGCCTCCTGGGAGGCCTTCGTCGCCACCGCTGGATTCGACTCGAGATTCTGGTCAGAACGCACCGGAGTAGCGGTATCGGACTTGTTGGTTTCCCCAGCAAGCCGGCGGCGGATGACGGAAAGAGCGCGCAGCGTCGCGATCCGTTAGCTGGGAGACAAGGGGAGTGTGAGGGGGTTTGCAGGACCCGTTGCAGATGACGGAAAGCGCGCGTGGCGTCGCGATCTGTTGGGCGGGAGACATAACAAGGAGGTGGGGGCAGCCCGGGCGTCGGATTTGATCGCCCCAAGTTTCGGCCATGTTCGGCCCAAGACGACCCAAGTCGGCCCCAAGAGCGCACAAGATGCTCCCAAGACGGCCCAAGAGGCCCACAAGGCGGCCTAACATGCTTCCAGCACGGTCTCAGGGAGGCCCACGAGGACCCCAAGACGTCCCCAAGACGGCCCAAGAGCGTCCAAAGTGAGTCCAAGAAGGCCTCAAGACGGCCAGAGAGGCCCTCAAGACGCTCCAAGAGGCTCCCCAAACGACCCCCCACATTGTAAGCATCTTCCCGCTTCCTCCGGAAAACATGCGTTTGTGGTACATTCGTTTCATTTGTTTAGTCTGAACGGCGTCCAAGACGGCCCAAGAGGCTCCCAAGACCCGACGGCCCAAGAGACCCCAAGGGGGCCACAAGACGGCCCAAGTGGGCTCCAAGACGGCTCAAGAGAGTCCCAAGAAACCAAAGAGAGGCTCCTGAGGACCCCTAAGAGTTCCCAAGAGAGCCCCAAGAGAGCCACAGAAGGTCCCTAAGAGAGCCCCGAGAGGGCCCCAAGACGGCCCAAGCCCCCCAAGACGGCCCAGCATCTGGAAGCCGAAAACATAGAAACGCGAATATATATATATATATATATATATATATATATAAGGATAGTAAATGAGTTGTGCCTCTTTGGGTCCTCTTGGGAGTGCTCCTGGAAGCCTCTTCAGGCGTCTTGGAGGCGTGTTGTGTTGTCTAGAGGCCATCCTTGGCGTCTTGGAGTCATCATTCGGCGAGTCTGGGCCCTCTGGGACTGTCTGGGCGCCCTCCCGGGGAAGGGGACCGTCCCAGAGGCCCTCGCGGGTCGCCCCGGAAGCGCCCAGCGGCGGATTACGTTTTCGTTTGTTTTCCACTGGGGAGGAGGAGGAGGAGGAGGATGAGGAGGAGGTGTTCTAGCTTCGGGACGTGCTCCAGCAGCCGCGCATCGCCGAGAGCGTTCTGGGGGTGCCCGAACCGTCCCGGACGGCTGCCTGAGGCCCGCGGCACGGCCCGAAAACCAGTCGCATCAGGAGCAGCGTTCGGGGGGGATAGGTTCGGGGGGGGGCTGTCCTTCGCCCCCTCCTCTCCTTCTTCCTCTTTCCTCCTCCCCCCTCGCAAAACATCCTCCCCCCTCGCCTCCTTCCAGTTTCCTCCCCCCCTCCCCTCCTCCTCCTCCTCCTTCCTCCCCCCCTCGCCTCCTCCCTCCCTCCTCCTTCCCCTCGCAAGAGATGTCGCCGCGCCCCGCCGTGTGGCTGAGGCGGCGTGGCCGCGGCGAACCTCTGGCCTCCGCTCCCGCCCCGCCGGGCCCTGCCGGAGCGGCCTGTGGAGTGGTCGTGTCGTCCCTCCCCGTGCGTGTCCGGCGGTGCTTCGTGCAGCTCGCGTCTAACAGTGCCAGTCGCCGCTCGGCCGCCTTCGGCACATCTCTCGGAGGAGGAAAAGGTTCAGGAGGGGAAGAAACACACAGACACAATGAACCGTCGATGTCTCAGAGAATGTGGGAAAATATGGGCAGTGGGGGGGAAGACAGAAACCCAGAAACCCAGTGGGGAATCTTCTGATTTGTGTGTATTTATTTGTGTGTCCCAGGGCCCCCAGAAAGGTACCCGTACCTTGCGCCCTTCGGCCGTTTCTCCCTTTTTTGAGCCTCCTCGCAGGATCTCGTCGCCACCGCCGGATTCGCAGTGAAATTCTTGTCAGAACGCACCCCAGGAGAGGTCCGGGGAGTGGCGGTAGCGGTCCCTCTTGGGTTTCCCCAATCTCGTGTCTTTCTCCCTGCCTCTCTCTCTCTATATGTGTATATCTATACATTATATATTTACACATATATATATATATATCCCTCCTCACTCGTTTGGCGCTCTCTCCCCTTCGCTCCTGCCCGTCCCCCCCATCACCAAGGATCGGGTGTTGCTAGAAGCGCCCCTGGCCCAAGGTGCCCCCAGCTTTTCACTCCATGTTGGAGCCCCTGGGGCCCTCTGGGCCTCGCGAGGGGTGCCCTGTGGAGGCCTCCTGGGCCACCCCGAGAATCCTGGGGGTGCTCAGGAGGGGAAAAAGCACACAGACACAAGTCATCGTCGATCCCGAGAAAATACGGGAAAACATGGGAAGTGGGTTGGAAGACGAAGACCCCCCAAATATGAAAACAAATATGGGGAATCTTTTGATTGGTGTGTATTTCTTTCTGTGTCCTGGGGCCCCTTCAGGTGCTTTGGGCCAGGGGAGTTTCCGAGCAACACCCGAAAAAAGAGGGGCAGGGAGAGCCTCCAACGCACTCGGGCGTGGTTTCTGTCTCCTGGCCACGACGGCCCCACGGCCCCCCGTGTGGGAGGCGGCCGTCGCCGGCGCGCGGCGCGAACGGGCGCGCCGCGGGGTGCCCAGGGCGCTGCTCAACTTGTGCCTTGAGCTAAGGGAACAAAAAGTCACATAAACATCAAAACCCGGATTCACAAAGGTGAAGCAAAGTTAGACTCCCTGGTGCCCCTCGTCGTGTCTCACTCTCGCGCGCGCTCGCCGCGTGTCTGCCGCTGTGTGGAGCTAATTCGGAGGTCCGCGCGGATTTCTCGGATCGGCGCTGGGCCCCCCCGGCGGCGCCTCCGGCGCCGCCCCTGGCGCGCTCCGCGCGCCGGGGAGGGGGGGCCCCAGCGCCGATCCGAGAAATCCGCGCGGGTCTCCGAGTTTTGATGTTTATGTCACTTTTTGCGCCCCTATGAGCCGCGTGCACGGTGGCGCGCCGGGCACTCCAAGGCACTCCTCGCTCCTTCCTGTCAGGCAGTGGCGAAGCGTCCCAGCGTGCCTACAAGACCCACCAGCACAAGGTTCTAAGAGCTTGTTTGGGTCTGCACGACATGTTCTTGTTCGTTTCTGGCTGGGACTGTTTTGTCTTGACACATCGAGATTATGTTGCAAGATCATGGCTTCTGTTATCAAAACATCTTTGAGTTCTAAGGATATTTCGTGGTAGGCCTATAGGAATGCCGGGACGGTCGGTCCCTTCTAAATCCTCTCCTTTCGCATGAGCACGCTCGCTCCTTCTGCAGGCCACGGTTCAGTGCGTGAGCTTGTCTATCGCAGGCCGGTTCCTGTGCGTTCCCTGGCTTGCCCAGCGAATTTTTGATTTGGCGCAGCGGTCAGGGCCGAGTCGGGTGAAGCTCCGTGGTCGCGCTCCTTCCTCCTCGGAATCAAGAAATGTTCGGGGGGGGGCACATCGACCCCCGATGGCCCATCCATCGCAGAGAGAGGGGCCCGATGGTCTGCCCAGCGTGCGGATCCGCCGTCGGGGGACTATCGCCGATTGCTCGGCGATGCATCACTGATCTCAGCTCGACTGGGCCAGTCTCCCCCCCCCACATAGTGCCTCCTCCAGGAGACGAGTGCGACGCAAAGTCCAGCAACCTGCTGACCGAGCGCAACATGAACGCGATGAAGAGGTTCGAGGACACAGGGGCTGGGCTTCCAAGAGTCAAGAGGGACAAAAAACACAGACACAATTAATCGTCGACTCCCAGGAACAAAAATAAGAAAATATGGGAAGTTGGGGGGAAGACGAAAACATAAAAATTAGAAAATATGGGGAATCCTGGGATTTGTGTGTATTTATTTGTGTGCCCCTGGGCCCCTTCAAAGAGGGCGGGTGGACTTCGAAGAAGGCAGGGGGGGCTTCTTGGCAACATTGGAGGGCCCTGGAGGTTTCTGCGCAGCCTTCTCGCAGAAGCTTCTGGGTCGTTCTAGGAAGACCCCGCCCCTCCTCCTCCTCCTCCTCCTCCTCCTCCTCCTCCCTCCTCCTTCTTTCTCCTCCTCCTCCTCTCTCTCCTTCTCCTCCTCCTCTCCCTCCTCCCTCCCCTCCTCCTCCTCCTCCCTCCTCCTCCTCCCTCCCTCCTCCTCCTCCTCCTCTCTTCCTCCTGCTCCTCTTCTCCCCTCCTCCTCCTCCTCCTCTCCTCCTCCTCCTTCCCTCCTCCTCCTCCTCTCTCCTCCTCCTCCTCTCTCTCCTCTCCTCCTCCTCCTCCTCCTCCTCCTCCTCCCTGCCCCCGTCCCTCTTGCCTTCTCCGGAAGGCTGCCCTCCTGGCGCCACACCCCCATTGTGGGCGCGCCCAGGACAGGCTCTTCGGCTCGGTGGACTTCCAGGAGGACTACTGCCTCCTCTGGTACCCCGCGTCTGGCGGCGAGCCAGTCTGCACGCCTCCGACCTCCATTTCGGGTGCCGCCAGGGGTGGGCCCTGGCCCCAAGGTGTCCCCAGGACTCCCCCCCAGGGAGGCCGAGGCGGCCTCCAGAGCACCCCCAGCGAGGCCAAGAGGGCCCCGGTGGCTCGAAGATGGTACGAGAAGCTGGGGACACCTCGGGCCAGGGCCACCCTCAGCAGAACCCGGTCCATGCTCGCCCAGCTGTATGTCGACGGCCCAGAGGTGCCCGCGACCGTGAAGGAGAACTTCGACGCGGGATTCGGCAACCCCCTGGGGGCGTGCATGTGCTCCCTGACGGACGTCGTAGAAGAAAACGCAGCTGATACACATGAGTTTTCGGAGCTCCATGCAGGTTTCTTGGACCTGCGCATGGGCCCCCCTGGCAACACCTCCGGCGCCGCTCCTGGCGCTCGCGGAGCAGTGAGTCAGCGCCGATCCAAGAAATCCGCGCGGAGCTCCGAAAGCTGATATTCGTGCTCTGTGCAGCAGCTTCTCCCCCCAGGACGAGCCCTGCGCAAAGTGCGAGTCGCTGGCCGCCCAGGAGCAGGCGGTGGATTGCATGGCGTCCGCCCACGGCGACGCGACCCAGGCCTCCCTGGCCCACACGGTGGGCCAGGTCTGCTCCGCCCTGCAGGCCAGCAACCTCTCCTGCCAGTTCGCGGCCCCGTTCCTGTCTCCCGTCTGCTCCTCCCCCGCCTGGGACCACACCCGGCACGGGAGCGCACAGCCTCTGCGGGGCGGTGCTCTGCAGCGGCTCCTCGAGGCGGCCTGCAACCCGCACAACCCGCTCATGTCGCCGCTGCGCAGGTTTGTCCTGCCCTCGTTCGCGTGCCAGGATAGTTTTCTCGCCGAGCACGGCACTCGAAGAAGAAACTTCAACAACAGAAGCAGAAATTGTCGGAGTTCCGCGCGCGGAAGTGTTGGATCGGCGTTGGCCCTTCTTGGCGCCTTTGGCGCCGCCACTGTCGTGTTCCGCGCGCCAGGGAGGCGGGCCCAGCGCCTTTCCAAGAAATCCGCGCGGACCTCCGAAAGTTGTATGTGTATGCAATGTGTTACTCCTCTAGGCACGCCGTTCTTGATGTCGATCTGGCTGATGGGGCACGATGGCGATAATCAGGACGAGCTGGAGAACGAGTATGCGAGCAAGCTGTGGAGCCTGTACCAGGAGGCCTCGGCGGAGACCATAGCCGAAACGAACGGCGAGGTCAGGCCCATGATGTTCACGCAGTTCACGGCCCTTAAGTCGATGGAGAGCCTGCTCATCCACGATGTCGCCCTGGCCGTCGGTTCGTTCCTCGTCGTGTTCCTCTACATGTGGTTCACGACCGAGTCTTTTTTCCTCTCGAGCATGGGGATGTTCCAGGTGGTGATGTCCTGCCCACCGGCCTTCCTTGTCTGGAAGGTCCTTTTTCCCGACGGGGTCGGTTTTCTGCAGTTCCTGACTATTTTTATGATCCATGGGGCTGGCGCCACACATCCGCCGACCCTTTGAGCTGTATCGTTCGCATACTGTGTCGTATAGTTCGGTTGCGGATGTTCGTGTCTTTGCGATTTGTGTTGAAGGCGTGTTGATTACCGCAAAGGGAAGGGGGGGCCCTTCGGCAACACCTAGAGGGTCTATCGGGGTCCTCTGCTGGGTGCCCTGTGGGCCGCCTCGGGCGTCAGGGGCACCTAGATAGGATAATCAGGCTATGTTCGGAGGCTTCGGGGCGTGGGGCACAGTCGGGCCGAACGGAAGGGGGAGGATAGGGAAAGGGGGGGTTATGAAATCTGCTGCATGCAGCTCGTTTCGGCCCCGCCGCCGGGCCCATTCCTCGATGCATGGGCGCCTCCTGGCGCCGGGAGGCGCTGGGAAAATCAGCTACGTGAGCTGATTCTCCACCCTAACCTGTGCCATCCCCCCTTTCGTTTTCCCAGATATGGGCATGGGGGAGGGTCTTGGTGTACGCTTGCCTTCGTTATCTATTAGCCATGGACTAACAATTGTTTTTCAATTAACTATTATCGTCCCTTATGCGTTATCTATTATTCATCGCTACTTCTGCGTTATTCCTTGAAAAAACGGCGTCCTTCCTTATTTATCGTTCCTTAGGTCAGGCCGATGGCTGTATGGGCATGGGGGAGGGTTCTGGTGTATGCTTGTCTCTGTCATGGGCCTCTTCAGAGGGCTCGCTCTGGCCGTTGCAGGTTCCTCCTTGGGGCCGTCTCTTGGGCCGCCTCGGGATGCCGTTCTTCCGATCACTCGTGGCGTCTGCTTCGGGGTGTGTCCTCCTCCTCCTCCTCCTCCTCCTCCGCCGCCGCCGCCGCCTCCTCTTCCTCCTCCTCCACCGCCTTCGCCTCCACCTCCGCCTCCGCCGCCGCCGCCTCCGCCGCCGCCGCCGCCGCCGCCGCCGCCTCCGCCTCCTCCTCCTCCTCCTCCTAGACCCTCTCCCCGCCCATCTCCCATTTCCACTCCTGCCATTCCTTTTCTTTCCGCCCTCTATCATTGGCTATGTGCCCCCGCACACGCGCCGCTGCTCCATCGCATCGTACAACCGCGGGCAAGGCGTCAGCGCATCGTACAACCGTGGACCGGCATAGAGCTCGCAGTGGCGTGTATCTCGTGTTCGTTCTTCTCTCTCTCTCTCTCTCCCCTTCTCCCCCTCTCTCTCTCTCTCTCTCTCTCTCTCTCTCTCTCTCTCTCTCTCTCCTCTTCTCTCTATCTCTCTCTCTCTTTCTCTCTCTCTCTCTGTTTTTTTTTCTCTCTCTCTCTCTCTCTCTCTTTCTCTCTCTCTCTCTCTCTCTCTCTCTCTCTTTCTCTCAGTATCAGCATGTCGAATATATGAATGATTCAGTCTATCATCGCCTCTTTTCGCGGCTGGTTGCTGCTGGTTGCGGCCAGTTGGTGTTCTTCGCATTCACCAGCGCTTGCCGCAGTCGTTTGTTGTTGCATGTTGCTGATGCTGATTGCTGCTGTTGTGTGCTGGTCCTTGCTCATATTGACTCCGCCGCTGTTGGTTCTGCTGCTGTGTGCTGGTGATGCATGCTGACGGTGCGGGCTTGCTGCGGCTGACTGCTGCTTGCAGCCTGCTGCTGCTTTATGTCTCTGCCGCAGGATCCACCGCTGCCAGTGCGCCGCGGCGGAGGCTCCTGGTACACTCCTGGAGCGTCGTGGGCCGCCTTGGGGGCCTTGGCATCGCTCGGACGTGTGCATTTTTCCTTCGGCGAGGACCATCGAGGAGCATCCTCCATCATGTGGCGAAAAAACCACGCACGAAACAAACAAAACACGGGGAATGGACGTCCGAGCGATGGCGAGGGGCGCGCCCGCGGCCCCACTTGGGAGGCATCCGCGGCGCCCTGCCCGCCCGGCGGGCTGCTTCGGGCCACGGCCCGCTCCGTGGCCGCTTCGGGCCGCCTCGGGCGCATCCCCGGGGCGCCCTCGGCAACAAAAAAAAAAAAAACGCTGCATGTATAAGGGCACCAAAAAAAACACGTAAAGAAACAGCTACAAAAGAAAATAAACACAAAAATTACGTTACCGAGGAACCCCACATATTTATATGATGGCTGGAGAGATGAGAGCTGAAGTTAAGCATGTGATAATGATGTTGGTGGCCGTTGCCCCGCCGATACCGCTGTGCCCTGGACGACCGTCTTGGACAGCGGCCGCGGTGAGAGACCACCCCCTGCGCACCCCCTTATGGTGTCGAGAATATGTCATGCCTGCTGTGCCCTGGACGACCGTCACGGATAGCGGCCGCGGTGAGAGACCACCCCCTGCGCACCCCCTATGGTGTCGAGAATATGCCATGCTGCTGTGCCCTGGACGACCGTCACGGATAGCGGCCGCGGTGAGAGACCACCCCCTGCGCACCCCCTATGGTGTCGAGAATATGCCATGCCTGCTGTGGACGACCTCACGGACGACCGTCACGGATAGCGGCCGCGGTGAGAGACCACCCCCTGCGCACCCCCTTATGGTGTCGAGAATCTGCCATGCCTGCTGTGCCCTGGACGACCGTCACGGATAGCGGCCGCGGTGAGAGACCACCCCCTGCGCACCCCCTATGGTGTCGAGAATATGCCATGCCTGCTGTGCCCTGGACGACCGTCACGGATAGCGGCCGCGGTGAGAGACCACCCCCTGCGCACCCCCTATGGTGTCGAGAATATGCCATGCCTGCTGTGCCCTGGACGACCGTCACGGATAGCGGCCGCGGTAAGAGACCACCCCCTGCGCACCCCCTATGGTGTCGAGAATATGCCATGCCTGCTGTGCCCTGGACGACCGTCACGGATAGCGGCCGCGGTGAGAGACCACCCCCTGCGCACCCCCTATGGTGTCGAGAATATGCCATGCCTGCTGTGCCCTGGACGACTGTCACGGATAGCGGCCGCGGTGAGAGACCACCCCTTGCGCACCCCCTATGGTGTCGAGAATATGCCATGCCTGCTGTGCCCTGGACGACCGTCACGGATAGCGGCCGCGGTGAGAGACCACCCCCTGCGCACCCCCTTATGGTGTCGAGAATATGCCATGCCTGCTGTGCCCTGGACGACCGTCACGGATAGCGGCCGCGGTGAGAGACCACCCCCTGCGCACCCCCTACGCTGTCGAGATAGCCATGCCTGCTGTGCCCTGACGATGAATGCCTGCCTGTGCCTGCTGTGCCCTGGCGACCGTCACGGATAGCGGCCGCGGTAAGAGACCACCCTATTTGGCGCACACCTTATGGTGTCGTGAATTCTGCCATGCCTGCTGTACCTGGACGACCGTCACGGATAGCGGCCGCGCCGCGGTGAGAGACCACCCCTGCGCCACACCCTATGTGTCGAGGATATGCCATGCCTGCATGTGCCCTGGGGACGACTGTTCTACGGATCGCGGCCGCGGTCGAGAGAGACCACCCTTTGCCGCCCCCTTATGGTGTCGAGAATATTGGGGAGGCGGGGGGGGACATGCCTGCTGTGCCCTGGACGACCGTCACGGATAGCGGCCGAGGTAAGAGACCACCCCCTGCGCACCCCCTATGGTGTCGAGAATATGCCATGCCTGCTGTGCCCTGGGCGACCGTCACGGATGGCGGCCGCGGTGAGAGACCACACCTTGCGCACCCCCTCTGGTGTCGAGAATATGTCATGCCTGCTGTGCCCTTGACGACTGTCACGGACAGCGGCCGCGGTAAGAGACCACCCCTTGCGCACCCCCTACGCTGCCGAGAATATGCCAATGGTTGCTGTGACCTGGACGGACCGTCACGGATAGCGGCCGCGGTAAGAGACCACCCCCTGCGCACCCCCTATGGTGTCGAGAATATGCCATGCCTGCTGTGCCCTGGACGACCGTCACGGATAGCGGCCGCGGTAAGAGACCACCCCCTGCGCACCCCCTATGGTGTCGAGAATCTGCCATGCCTGCTGTGCCCTGGACGACCGTCACGGATAGCGGCCGCGGTGAAAGACCACCCCCTGCGCACCCCCTACGCTGTCGAGAATATGCCATGCCTGCTGTGCCCTGGACGACCGTCACGGATAGCGGCCGCGGTGAGAGACCAGCCCCTGCGCACCCCCTACGCTGCTGTGCATGTGCTGTGCTGTGCTGTGCTGTGCTGTGCTGTGCTGTGCTGTGCTGCGCTGTGTAAGAAGGAGAGAGGGGAGGAGGAGACGCGGGTGCGCCGCGGCAGGGAAGAAAACCAGAACCCCACGAAACACGTGGGGAAGAAACAACATGTAACGTGTTTTGTTTTGAACCAATGCCTCGCCGCCGTGGGCGCGCTGCTCGGGGGACCCTCGGCGGCCGCCCCCTCGGAGCCTCTCCGGGCTCTCGGCGCGCCCGCGGCCCCTCCTCTCGGGCCGCCTCGGGGCCGGCCTCGGGCCCTCCCGGATAGGCCTTCGGGGGCCTCCCGAGGCAGGCCTGGGCCGAAGCGCGCGGGGGGCCGGCCTTGGGGCTGCCTGTCGCCCTCGGCCCGTTGGGGCCCCTCGCGGGGCTTTCCCGGGGCGTCGAGCGCCCGAGGGGCTTCTCGCACCAGTCCTGGGGCCTCTTGAGCTGGCCGGCCCTCTCGTGCCGCCCGCGGCCCATCGCGGGGGCGGTCAAGGGCCGGGGCCCGTCCAGGTGCTCTGCTGGGCCATGCCGGGGACCCCAGGCGCGATGTTCTCTCAGGCCGCCGCAGACCCAGTTTGGCCGTTTGGCCACGCTGGGAGCGTTGGGGCCGAGCTGTGGGCGCGTTGGGGGGGACCTCTCGGGCCCTCGGGGGGGGCCTCGGAGCCTTCCTGGAGCGGCTTGAAGCAAAGAGCGCGGACGCTGCAAGCAGCGCGAAAACCGGAGCGTGCTCCCTGATTTGGGCCGTCTGGGGTTTCCCATTGGGGCCCTCTCTCGGGGCCTCTTGGGGTCGCTCGTGCGCTTGCCGCGCTTTTGGCGTGGATGCTGCCCGCGGTTTGGGAGGGCCCTTGGGCCGCCGTGGCGGCCTCCCGTGCCTGCTGGGCCTTCACTGGCCCGTCGTGCCGGGCCTACGGCTCCCGTGCACTCCCCTCGGGGACAGCGATACGGGGGGGATAGGGAGAGGGGGGGGGAACGCATCGACCCCCAAATCGTTCCATTGATCACCGAGATGGGGCCAAAAGCCCCACCCCGCCCAGGAAGGTGCCGTTTCGCTATCGGGGCCTGTCACGGATCAATCGGCGATGTATCGCCGATTCCAGGTCGATGCACCCCCTTTTTAATGCCCGTCCCGCCATATCGTTGCCCCCATCCCCTGCCCCATCTCGCGCACTTGTTTCTGTCGGCCACGCGCAGAGAGATGTAGGGGGAGGGGGCGAAGCCTTCTCAGAAGTACCCCAGCTTCTTAGAATGCGCGGGCCCTTCCTATAGATGGGAGGGCCCGCGCCTTCTAAGCAGCAGCCTCCTTCTAAGAAGCCGTCCCCCCTATCCCTACCCCCTTGTGCGCGCCGCCAAGCGAGGCCGCGGAGGCACGGCGGCGATGGCCCGCGGCAGGACCGGGGGATAGGCAGAGGAGGGGATGCATCGACCCCCAATCGCCCCATGGATCGCCGATGGGGGCCTGAAAGCCCCACCCCGCCCAGGAAGGTGCGGCTTCGCCATCGGGGGCCGATCCCCCCTTTCTTGGCATCGCTCGGACGTGTGCATGTTTCCCTCGGCGAGGGCCTGGTGCATCTGAGATCACCTTGCCAAAATACACAGGCGCACAAAGCCGCCAAAAATGCACGGGGAATGGGCGCCCAAGCGATGGCCAGTTGCGCGCGCTGGGATCCAACCCCTCGGTCGAAGAAGGCACACCCGGCCTCGGAGGCGCTTGGGCCACGCACCAGGCAGGGGGCGCGGAGGAGGGAGGAGAGGCGGCCCGCGCAGAGGGGGAGGGAATAATGATATGATTACTGGTAGACTTGGTGGTATTATTAGCCGTATTATTAATAGTATGATTCCCTACCTAGGCTCTGCCTAGAAGGGTTCTTATTGTCTTGGCTTAAAGGGGCCGGGCAGTGGATATCGCCCCGGGCGGTTCCCCCAGGATCCGCCCCGCGGTTCCCCCAGTTACGCCCCCGTAGCTTAGCGTTGCTGATATCATCTTATCTTAGCGTATGTGCATCTTAGCTTAGATTAGCTTCATCTTAGCTTAGCTTAGCTACCGAATTCCCTACCTAGGCTCTGCCTAGAGGGTTAGTTTAGCTTCGCTTAGCTTAGCATAGCGCAGCGCTGCATTAGCATAGCATAGCATAGCATAGCACAGCATGTCATAGCATATCCTAGCATAACGCAGCATAGCATAGCATAGCATATCATAGCGCAGCTTAGCATAGTATATCATAGCATAGCTTAGGTTCGCACAGCGCAGCATGATATAGCATAGCTTAGCATAGCATGACATTGCATACCATAGCATAGCGCAGCATATCATACCATAGCATATCATAGCATACCATGTCATAGCATAACATAACGTGTCATAGTATGACAGAGCACAGCATAGCATAGCAACTAATGCTGCTGTCCTAGGGTCCCCAACTTCTAGGTAGGGTCGCACTGGGGCAATTATGTATATGCTTAGTTGTTTGTGTTAGTGTTCTTAGTGCTGGTATTATTAGGAGGGCGAGTAGGGGGAGGGGGAGAGGCGGCCCGCGGAGAGGGGCGGAAAAAGGAGGACGAGGATGGGCGAGAAGGGGAGGAGGGGCGAGGAGAAGGGGGAGGAGGAGGAGGAGGAGGAGGAGGAGGAGGAGGAGGAGCAGGAGGAGGAGCAGGAGGAGGAGCAGGAGCAGGAGCAGGGAGGAGGAGGAA